TTCACTAAAAAATTATCGCAAATTAAAAAAATAAAAAAAATTTTGAAGCTTGAAACTTGTGCTTTAACACTTTTTTGACTGTTTTCTAAAAAAATTTTATCTTTACAGTTTTATATCTTATTAAACAATAGTGTAGTCCTAAAAATAAAAGTACTCTAGCGATTCGAACACAGGTTTACCAGATTTTCAAAATCCAATCTGCAACAAGTGGAACAAACGAATAAAAAAAAGAGAAATGCAATCGTTTCATAGGATTCGTGCCGCGCGACGTCACATTGGGTTATGTTTAATTTCTCTACCTCCAGATAACTTTATTCAAGAGATATCTTCATCAGAATATAATGGAGATATCTCCTGGTAAAGTTATCCGCAACTTATCTGGAAGTGAAGAAATTGAGCATAACGTTTTACTTTTTTATTCGAAAATTGCAGCAAAAATATCTCAAAATATTATAAGATTTTTTTATCTTCCCTGATTCCTTCCATGCCCCAATGTGGTTCATGCATAATTTTTCTGGACCTGTATGATTGGGCTCTTTGGTTGACTACATCATGTTGTCATGTCGAAATTTAGGTATCGGTAAATGTTTCTTTTTTTTCTTATCGTCTTATTACACAAAGAAAAAATTAGTTTTAGATAATTATAGAAAGTATCTTGGCGTCGCCAGGCCTCCGAAAAATATATCCCGGCGTTAGCCCTGGCGCCGTCAGGCCTCGCCAGAACTTGACTACACCTATGTTATTAAAAATTGAAAAATGTGGCAAAGAATCATTGATTCAAAAATTATAAAAACATTTTAAAGCAATTTATACTTTTTACATTAAGCTATTAAGCGTTTTTAATTTAATTTTGCAGAATTGAGGAAATAACAAATTTTTGCGATAGTTTTTCTCCGAGTTTCAACGTTGATTATTACAAATGCAGGTTTAGCTTTAAAGTTCGCGTAATTCGACCAAGAAAAAGTAGATAAAACTCTGTACATTTTTGTAAAATTTTTTTAGAAAAAACGTTTTATCAAGCTACAAGCTTAAATATATGTAATTTTAAAAAATGTAACAAGATGATCTTTGTCAGAACTGTAAAAAAAAAAAGTATCATCGCTCTTCGCGCAGCGTTGATGAATGAACAGCAAGATTCACGAAACGTTGGCATTAACAATGGATAAAAATACGACGATAATTCGCGAATCTTCTGGTATCTTTAAAGATAAATTTTTTTTAAAAAAAGATTTGTTAAAGTACAACTTCGAGCGTTAAAATGCTTTTTTATTTTTTTATCTGCTATGATCTTTCATCAAGTTTGGTAATCTGAAAATTATGTAATTTTGCGTTTTGAAAGTGTTCTCTACTTTTTTGTTAAACAGTTACACACACACACACATACACACACACATGCGCGCGCGCGCGCGCGCGTATGGCAATTGAATAAATTCATTGCACGCGTATATCCTATGTTTGACTCTTATATATAGACATTACTATTCTCTGAACTATTTTATTTTATCTTATTTTGTGTTTAAAAGTCACAAGAATAAAATTATCAATAATATAATTTCACTTTTAATAATCCAATGTTATATTCATAATTTCTTTTAAAGAAAATAACTCTTGGAATGAATAGAAGATACAATTAAATATATAATAATATAAAAAATAAATAAACATTATGTTTGATCATGTAAAACGGAAGGTTGCATTTTTTAATATTTTATCTACGTGTTAATTATTTTATAGAATAAACTATGTAGAATTATACACACATTTTCAAATATATGATGTATAAAGTGCTCGGCAAAAAATATTTTACATATAATTATGCATAAAAATTTTTTCCCGCCCATTTAAATCACATTTAACATTTATAATTTAAAATTGTTTAGACACATTTTTTAATTACTTTGTTATAAGCTAACAGCTTTTTTTTCAAAATTATAATTTGCTAGCTAAACACACACATACGCACGCACACACATAAATATATGTATTCATACACACATATATACATAAGTTCTGTGATTAGTTTTTAAAAACCCTATATTCTATTTATGTTTAACATATATGT